GAATGAGCAGTGGGAAACCCCTCTGGGGAAATGGTCAATGTTGGATTGATTCCTGTGTGCTKCATGGAGAGGATTTAGGGCCAGGGACCATGCCAGAGAGGAGGAGTGGTGGAAGGAGTGGCCAGCTGTGTTGTGAGTACAACTTCAGCGTAGCCACGTCTGGAGAGGATACTGCAGATGACACAGTCAGTGAAACCAAMGTGCTCTGAATTCTGTTGGGGTTACAGCCCATGGACACAAGTTACAACAGCATTTCGGCTTTCCAAGACCGAAGCCAGGTCCAGCCCTGGATAAGGGGCGTGATCTAACATCAAAAACATGTCAGGCTCATTCTTCACTCCACTAAGTAGGACCAGGCCTCCTCTTACATCTCAGAAAAAGAATGGTTTTATGAGGTTCCTGCCCTTCCCTAAYACCACTCAGAAGAGCTGCTTGTCTTCTTGCCTGAATCTTGGTTTAGTCTCAACCTGAGTCTCAGAAAAGCTGGAAACAGACCCAGCACTCTCCAGAGCCACTCCATCTTCCATCCCACATCCAACTTCTGTGCTGAGCCCAACACAYGGGATCAATGCACAGGACATGCTGATGCTCCCTCCTGCACAGAGTGGGGAATCTGTGTTGTTTAACCCTTTTCTGCTCAACATTCACAGCTGCAAAAACAGCAGGCAAACTCCCGACCTCCCGAAACTGAGCACCAGATGCCTACCCCTCTCCACCGCTCCATCCAGATGCTCTTGGGTTGGGAGTTGCACACATTCAGGATGGGTTCTCCTTATCTAGACATTGCTTTTGTATTTTTAGAGGTGAGGAGACATTCTTCAGGACAAATATTCTATTTAATTTTCGATCTTGCTCTGAAGTCAGGCAGGTCCCTCTGTTCCACCCCAGCAGGAATTCAGCCCAATGTCCCAGCAGGAATTCAGCCCAATGTGCCCATCCCTGACCATCATCCCTGGGAGCATGGCTCCAGGGCTGAGCACAGCATCCCCCCAACAGGGCGGACCTGCAGGGAAGCATCTAATGACAGCTTGACTGGTGGAGCAAAGCAYGACTCGTGTTTGTTTGGATATTCAAAGGACTTGGAACAAATGTCTCCGACTTGCGTTGGTTTAGATAAAAAAACCCCAGCCTTGTCACAGAATCAATGGGGCTGATGAGAAATCACTGGTGTAGACCTCCTCTGCTCTCAGACTCTTTAAAACAGAAAAAAACCCATGATAAAAACAACAATAATAGTTATTATTTAGGTTGGAAGAGACCTTTAAAATCACCAAGTCCAAGTGCTAACCCAGTGCTGCCAATCCCACCCCTAACCCACCACAACTACATGGCTTTTAAATACCTTGAGACATGGTGACTCAACCACTGCCACAGGCAGACTCTTCCAATCCCYGACAGTCTTTTCCTTGAAGAAACATTTCCTAATATTTCATCTAATCAAAATAATAATAGAAAAATATTTTCACAACTTGGAGGTACTCAATTCCTTCTGGACTAGGACCCATTGGGGTCCCAAGATCAGGGATTGGAGCTGCAAGGTTGGGGTCACCTGTCATCTGTATGACCAAAAGTTTGGGACATTTTGCTGCCTGGTGCCTTCTGTTCTGCTCCCCATGCTGACCTGGGTGACAATCCCTGCCCTTACAGACMCAATATCTGGCTGGGAGGGAAGAGAAGGCTGGACATGGCAGTGCCTGGAGTGGAGAACCAGGGGGACAGGGACTGCTRCGTCCACATCCATCTGGCATACTGAGGCAGGGAATGAAGGAAAAGGAAGGAGGGGCCGGGCAGAAAAGAAAATCCCAAAGATCCTCGGATAATAAGCACCATTAAGGTTAGTCTGTCTCATGATTGTTTCTTATTAAAAAGAGACTGTACTTTATCTGTGCAGGATATGCTGTTTGGATGAGGGAATTAGCAGAGTGACTGCCTCCATATCATCTAATTAGCAAAAATGTTGATAAGCAGATACAATCACATATGATTAGGATCCTTTTAAAAAGCCACTCCATTAATTAAATAGACAGAAAGGCCGCCTCCAGCCCTCGCGTGCCACTGATTAGAATACAAATATTTACACTAATCTCACCTCCATCAGCYATGGGACACTTTTGAGTATTTTTAGTGACATCAGATTACTATTGATTTTCATCCCCAATGTCAGACCATTTTGTTAGTATCTGAAAGTGCTGCCTTCAGTTTCGGATGCTTTAAATCATGTTAAGGGTTTATCTTAATGACGCTGCTGATAACCACTGTTCAGGTCACTCGTACTTTCTCTTCAAAGAACACAGTCTGGGCTGGTTTTTATTGTTTGTACTTGAGATTTAAGATACGAAAAACATTTCTCATTTCAAAGCCTTGGTTTCTAGGGATGGGGCTGCCAGGCCAGTTTGGGTCTAGTTAYTTGGTGTGTGCATGTCTCATTTCCCTTTCTCCCTGCCTCTCCTCGGCCCTTTCTTTTTTCCTTGCAAACCCTTTTGGCTCACAGCAGTGGCCTGTCTTGAATGGCTGCTAATCTCTGACGCCTGTTGCAGGCAGCAGCCAGACAGGCAGTGAGCATCCTCCGTTTGGGGATGACAGGAGAAAAACATTCCCTGCTTTTCAGCTGGGTAGGATGCACTAAAGCCAAGGCAGATAACCCAGTGCGCCAGCCAGTCTGAGATGGGCTCTCAGCATCAAAAGCAAGCAGGGGAGRAGAGGCTTTGCAAAGACACAGCAAAAGGCAGAGTCACCTCCTCCCTTCTGTGCACAGCCCCACTCCCTGCTGTTGATAACTGGCCTGGRACCCTCTCCAAAAGACTTTTCTCTTGTCCCGTTTTCCCTTCTGGGTAATAGAGAGTAGGAACATCAATCCTTCTTGAATTTTCTGCCAAGCATCTGCAAAAGGACCGTGCTGGCTGTAGCTAGGAGCCGTTTGCACCTTTTGGGGACTTGTAGGTGGTAAGCTTGGATCACCCTCAAKTCCATTGGACAATCCGTAAAAAATCTGGTCCCTTTTGTGATGATTTCAAGCATGAGACTACAGTCTGAGTGAGCCATCAAGTCTTAGCTCTCCCCTCAGTGTAGAAGACCACTTCAGAGTATTTTGGGAATGCAAAGAGTCCTCTGGGCTCAAATGGACGGCACCGTCTTGCTGTTGGGCCCATGTTACTTTCACCATTTCTACAGAACAAACAACACCTAGCAGAAAAAATAATTCACGTGKCACAATCACTCTGCAATTAAGGAGATTTCTGCGCCAAAGGAGGCGAGAGCTGAAATCTCCCCAGTGAGGTGAGCCCACAGGACCATGACTCCTTTGYTCCTTTACTCTTCCTTCAGCTTCAGCCCCAGACCTGCAGTACTCTGTGGCAACTTTTACTGCCCAAATCTGACCAGAACCTCTGTGCTACTGCCCCATCASTGACCAGTGAGAACACCAGCAGTGCAAAGACCTCTCCCAGCATGTGCCAGCTCAGTTGCCTTCCTCCCTGTGTCACATTGCTCTCCCCAAGGCTGCCCCTTGCTTTCACAGCCCCCACACAGGGTGTGTGTTAGGATAGCAGCCARCTCATACGCTGTGCACATGCTCTTTGGTCTGACTTCTTCCCAAAGTGTGGGATAATGGAAAAGAGGGCAGAGATCTGCAACACATGCTGCTRTTAGTAGGTGTTTATGACACTGTGTTACAGGCAGATGAGTTCTCATTACTGGCACTTCCTTGGAGACCTTCCTCATGCAATGATTCCCTCAGAGGGTATTGTATTTCCCACCAGAATGGCAAATCCAAGGAATGGAAACAGATGCAGGATAACCCTAGATTTGATGGTCCGTGTGGAGCTCCTGGGCCATCCCTGTTTTTCATGCATACACACCTTGGGACAGTTATCCAAAAAAAGCACATGGAGAAGAGGCTAAGGTTGGTAATTCTGGGAATTTAATTTGCTACCAACATGAAAAAGAGGCTCTTCTGATAATGTCAGGCTTGGCTAAAAATTCWGAAAAGATTATGATGTCCATCTAACCATGATTTTAGGAAAAATTCCCACTCAGGGCTTAAAAATGACCACATGGGAAAGTTCCAACAATTTGTTACCCTTGTAAAGAAGGATGTGCAGTGCATTTTGAGTTTAAATTTGGCTAATGACACCTTCCAATTGCTTTGCCTGGGAGCCTGAAGATCCCTGCAGCACTGAATTTCTGTTCCCATGCATGTTCTTGCTGACTGTGATTAGCTGGCATTAAACTTCCTCTTTGCCCAAGTCTGTCATTCCAGAGCGTAGTTTCCAATCCCTTAGTCACATTTTATGGCCTTTCCCTGGGCTTTCTCTGATTCATCAACACTCTGTCCAAACTGTGGGTAGCTTCCCTGRATTGCACACAAAACCACACTGAGTCTCTGAGAATCCCACTGTAGGGCAGGTACAGCAAAAAGTAATCTGACAAATCATAAGGGTGGTAAAACAAGGGAAGACATTGYCCAGGGAAGYTGTGGATGCCCCTTTCCTGGAAGCATTCTGGGCCAGTTTGGATGGGGCATTAAGCAAACAGTTCTAGTGGAAARTGTCCCTGCCCATGGGTGACCTTCAGGAAASGCCACTTCCCACCCAAACCATTCCATGATTCTGTGGCAGCCCTACATCACAGCTCTGTCAGCAGYTACCTCCAGCAACTAAAACATCCCGTGTGTGATCTACGCCTGAGAACAGAAGGCCAGTGACAACCAACCCCACCCTGGAATGTGGTCAGGGCAACTGAGCCGGGATTGGCTGAGCCCCCTCTGAAGTCACAATCCCATGCTTTGTGAGCAACAGGTTTGGAAAGAATGTCTATGGTCAGGCAGCTGTCAGTGGCCTTGCGCTGCAGCAGGACAGAGCAGCTCATGGGGGGGACTGAGCTTCTCCTCACCCCCGAGGAGTGCAGTCCCACTGGGCGTCCAGGACTCTCCACATGCTGATCCACCTTGGTGGGAGAGAGGCAAAACGGCATCCTCCAAACAGCCCCACATGTCCTCTGAGATGGTGGATTACTACAGAGTCCTTGGACTGCAAAATGACGCCTCACAGGATGATATTAAGAAATCGTACCACAAGCTAGCACTAAAATGGCATCCTGATAAGAATCCCAAGAACAAGGAGGAAGCTGAGAAGAAATTCAAAGAAATTGTTGAAGCGTAYGAGACTTTGTCCGACCCCCAGAAGCGATCACTCTATGACATGTCTGTTGAGGAGAGCAGAATCCACTGTGAAAGAGCTTCAGGGGGTTATGACACCTTCTGTTGCTCTCCTTATGGATTCCCCTATCACGAAGATGTCTTTGAAGGGATATATCCATTCACGTGTATTTTCTTGAACCCTTTTGACATCGGACTCAATGGTGAAACCTGGTACAGTGCAAGTGGAAGAGGAGGATGCTCCAGGGAGCCGTTCATGCAATGGAGTTCATTCTGCCCCAGCGGGCACTCYGGCCCCTTGTTTGCTGAAAACACAACTGGGCTACGTGGTGTCAGAACAGTGATAACCACTACTGAAGTGGTCAATGGCAAGACCATCACCACCCGGAAAATCATTGAGGATGGGAAGGAGACAAAAGAAGTGGAAGAAGATGGCCGGCTGAAGTCTGTGACAATCAAYGGGAAAGACTACACGAATTCTCAACGTCAGGAGCACAAGAAATAACTGCAAGCTGTGGGATGTGCTCTCATAGCTCAGCTGATGTGATCCACTGCAAGCAGTGCTAATAAATGCCGAATTCATGACACAACCGATGTAGACTTCTTGATGGTTGGGAACAAAATATTCCACAGGTAAACATGTAGTCGTGCTAAAGAGTAACATTCCACCAAGCCTGAATGAGGTGATAGAGAGTGATTTTTCAGTAAATGTGTATCACAGATACATGTGAAAGCAGCCTTGCTGGTTTGCCAAAGAGACCAAGTTGATTAAYAGAGCAGTTGACTGGTTCATGGACAGGTAAGAGAGCCTATAACAAGCCATAGGTTCCCTTCCCACTCCTTGAGATGTTAAAATCTACCAGCTGGRTGAATAAAGTCTTGTGTCATCATCATACACAACCCTGACACTAAGTGAAAAATATCCTTCCAACCTTTGGTGTATGGGAGGATGCAGATTTTTGTACACTGGCAAGAAAGTAAGCAGGGGTCAGTGGGACTCCTAGAGGAGAGGGAATGATGTAGAAAAAAAAAACAAAGGAAGGAAGAAAATGTCATTCTTCTGACTGTAAAAGAAAACTGGGCCTTTCTTGAGAGTGTTCAGCAAATTATGACCAGAGACCCTGATGGGAGTACTGCATAACTCAGGGGATGAAAGTGAGCAGGGAAAAGGTGAATTTGGCTCTCAGATGGGACAATSTATATCCCCTCTCTGCTTGGAGTAGTTCAAACGCAAAGAGCTAAATTCAAACCATGAGCCAACAGATTCCAGGCAGCTGAGTTTAGATCACTCTTTGTGCAAAGCTGGATGTGGGGACTTAGATGGTGCTTTACCATCCTTATTGTCTTGTTCACAGCTGCAAGAGCCAGTTCACAATGCATTTCTTGCACAGCCTGCCAGCACGCTGCTCTCGTCCTCCACTGAGCTTTGGAACACACTCCCCACGTTTCCGCCCTGCCCTGGGCTGACACGAACTGCTAAGCCTYGTTTCTTGCTTGGCCAGATCACCTTAGGCATTTAAAATCTTACATACCTCTTATTTTCAGTCCCACGCTACATCCCCTTGAATTTCCCAGCTTTCCCTGCCCGCTGATGTCTCCCTGGAGACTGGAACTAGTTTGCAGGGACATTTTCACTCTGATCCAGATTGCAATTGCTGCTGGTGTTTGGGCAGGTCTTTGCATCTGTTTCCTCTGCTGTAAAATGGGAATAACAGACTCCTGTGCTTTGAAGGAGACTGGGAGGTAGTGCTGTTAGTAAAGGACTCTGAACATGAAGCAATAATTTAAATTAGCCAGAATRCTGCCACCCCTTATTCAAAACCTTTTTCTCTTGTAAAGAAAAATGTAGCTTAAATCACCATMCTTAGCAACTGATGCCATGTCCAGCTTGGAAAAACAGACCAAAACTGTATTTGTTATGTTAAGGGCTGTTAAACCAGTTTCCCAGTGACAAAAAGACAGCACTGGGCAGCAAGTGGAAGCTTAACTGCATGCTGGGTGTGTGGAGGGAGGCACGTGGCAATGGGAGCAGGGAAAATCTCTGTGCGGGGACAAACTGTGTCTGCTGCTCCTCCAGTTTGGGAGCCATCAATAGTCCTGCAGACACTGGGACTCTGAGAACTGCAAAGATTTAAAGGGCTTGGTACAAGAAGATTATTTTGGTCAGAGCAAAAACAAGTCAGTATTTCTACTGATACTTCCCCAGTGGACACCACGTTTGTGATAGATGGGTCCTTGAATTAATGTTATGCTTCCTCAGAGGAAGTCCAAGTTAAAAACCCCCCAACAAGCAAAACAACAAACAAATCAACAACAACAACAACAAAAAATCAAACTGCACATTTTGGATCAGAAACTGGTCTTTCATAAAAATAACATGTTTGGAAATCTGGACCAGAGTCGAATTCCCAGCTTCTCAACCTTCTCAGCTTCCTACAGCTAAAACTTTGCTTCAATCTTGTCTCTAATGGTATATTTATTTATGCACATCAATATTTGTTGATCTGAGACAAAGGTATGCAAGCCTACATGCATCTTAGATCTGTCTTACCTTGGGTCAGCAGTTCCCTCTCTTGTGTTGGTATCTAAAGCAGCACCTAAGAGCAAGTTCTTATTTTTCCCATCCCTGGGTCAGAGTGTGTCTATTGCTGCTTGCAGTAGCAGATAGCTCCTGGGGCAGCTCTGGCAGCTGCACATACCCAAACCTGCTAGAAGGAATATGGAAACACAGACTGGGAAGGGACYCAGCTCACCCAGAGTCCAGGAGGACTTGGAGATCCTCTTCCATTTCTTCCAGTCAGGACCACAGAACACCTCACAGCACTTTTGGGGTGCTAAATATCTGAGATYAAAACAAAAAGACAAGAAAATCATAAAAGTCTGGTGGTAAGAGAGCAGGTCAATCTGCGTTTGGAAAGTCCTGCATTCCTGCAATAGCAAGGAATCTGCCAGGTGCCCAAACCAGCTCTGGGAACGGATTGTGTCTCTGTTACAGTGAAAGGTATGTGAACCCCAACACACCTTGCCTTGGAAGCAAACCCCTTTCTGTCTCAGGACATTGKATCAGACTCACACTGAGCCTGCCAACAAAACACCAATACCTTCAGGGAGCTTTTTAAAGCTTTTTCTCATGCCATTTAGCAACTGCAGCACCAGAGGAGCAGCCAGATGTCCAACCAGCCACAGCACAAACTTGAGAGTCTTTGCCTTGCCCAATTCTAATTCTCTGTTTCTCTTCCAGAAATGCATCTTCCCTCCAAAAACCTGTATTTTTAGACCTTGCCKGGTCAGTGGTGAGTCTTTCAGGTGTGTTCATGAGTGAAGGTGCTTGCATGCAGTCAAACCCCCTATGAGGACTGGGGGTACCACCTGCACACCCTCAGCTCAGCTGCTGATGGAAACCAGCCCCTCATCCTTCTAGTCACCACTGGATTTGATGGGCTCATTTCCAGCACCAGCTCTGCTTGCAGATGTCACACTTGGGGGCAGCTGGAAGCCTCCCTTTGGACTGCAGCTCCAAACACAAGCATGTGGCCCTGGCTGGCCCGTGGCACCAGGGAGCGAGAGCAACTCGAGCCCCATCCCTGAGCGTGGCCAGCAGCCTGGGCTGAGAGCCTGAGTCATTATTTTATTAGCAGGGCCCACAACTACTTTAATGTGGGCTTAGGCTGCAAAAACAAAAACATACATAAAAGCATTTGGAATTACTTCATAAAATACTAAATCACGATATTAACCGACTGACCTTTGCTCTATGCAGACCTGCTAATTTTAGCAATTACAGCCAACAACTTGAACATATCAAGTGGGCAACTGTTTAACAATAATGACATCTGCTTGGAAAATCAAATTATGTCTAAACATCTTTAAATCCCCACTAGGGGATACCTGCTTTCTTTTTGCAACTGTTAGTCCCTGTTTAATAGGATTTTAAACTCACAGCCGGCTGCACACTGCGGTGGCAGTGGCCCCTCTCCCTGGAGTGACTACAACAGGACCGACATCCCATTAAGCAGGGATTGAGAGTCTCTCCTTGGACAGTGATGGAAGTGGTTTGGGTTTTGACAGCTTAATCTGATAGACGGGTGCATTAGCTGGGTCCCTTTGCTCACCCGTGCCCCTGCAGATATTGCTCCCCTCCASAGCCCCCCAGGTTACACGTGCTGGACACATCCAGGGCTGATCTCCACTGGCTGTTGCTTGGGAAGCACCTTACAACCAMGATGGGCTTTGCAGCCTTCAGTGCTGTTTGTGGAGCAACTGAGACGAGATTTCCTCCTGCAATGCCCTCAGACACAGTCTAGTTGTATTTTTGGTGATGGCTTCTGTTTCTTCCCTCTCTTTTCTCCCTTCTCTCCTCCTCTATCCTCAGCTACTTAAATCCCTCCCTGCTGCACTCTGCTTAATGGGTGAAACTCCAACACTGAGATCTGTTCCTCTCTATAATGGAAACCCCTAAAAGACAACATCTCTGCAGTGGCTTCTGTAGCTGTATTTCAGGCCTGTAGGTTTTTCTTGCCAAGAAAAGTGATGTTAGAAGCAAATGGGACCAGTGAGGAAGAGTGAGCACAACAAGACCACCCAAATCTCCACTTAAGCACACCAATGCAGAACCAAGACCCTCCACCATAAAATCAAGGTTCTTATTCAGCCCCAGTGAGTTGCTGCAATGCCCTGCACTCTGAGCTGATCTGGGAATGGACTCAACTCCATGGTCCTGCTCCTGATCACTCAGCACCCTGGGCTGCAAGGCTGTTGTCAGATATTTGAATTGAGATACAAGAACAGAATATTTCCGCCCCTCCTCCTCCCTCCCTCTCTCTCCCTCCCCGGCCAGTCTGGCACTTCTCTGATGGAGCGTGCAGCAAAATCACAATCACATGTTTGCAGCAGTAGGAGGCCATTGGCATGGAAGTGGCTGTGATGTCACTACAAACATTTCCACCCTATCCCATTTCTCCAGAACAGTCTCCGTTTTTATGACCCCATCCTGAGATCTGCAGGAAATCAAATTGTCCTGATTCTATTTTGAGTGCTGGTGTCATGGCATCAATATACAGCGCGGTGGTGTCAAGCCGGAGAGGCTGGAGCGCTCCATGGCGCTGCCGCAGCCGCTCTGCCGCGTGTGGCTCACGGGCTGGATCCCGTGCTTGCCACGCTGGGACCCTCGGGATGCACGTGCTGAGCTCAGGGGGTGAGCTGAGCAGGGCAGGCTGAGGGCAGGCCTGGCTTTCATCCATCAGCAGCTCCCACACCCCGCTGGAGGTTACCAAATCCCGGGGCATTGCGGTACCGGGGGCAGAGCGAGCGCACAGGCACGCGGCGTGYGGTTCCTACAGCCAGGCACGCTGCATGCCAACCACCCTGGGGGCTGCACGCAGGGGACAGCATGGTTGAGAGGCATTCATGAAGGGCAAGGCGAGATSTGGGGAAAGACAGACACTGGCGAGGTGCCCAGGACACGAAACTAAATGACAATCTGACCAAAATGGGGAGAAACAGCAC